CAGGTTGAGACAGAGATTAAATTTAATAAATATTAGCGCTCATATGACAATTCTATAGAGACTTTTGTTCATTAACCACGGCATGTTTCCAAAACAGTCAGCGCTCGAGACAAATACCTTGCCAGTCTTGTCGGCCGAGCCCTTTAAAACAAATTAATTAATAATGTGCTTGTAGCTTAGTTTCAGAGGAAAAAACCGGTCTTTCCGTCCCCTCGAGGTCGTTGGAAAAGCGCAGGACTAATCAAGGCAATGGCTGAGAAACAGACGCACATTTTTATCTCGTTTTCCTTCTTTGGTAACGTGTACGAGTATGGTGACTCATTAAAATAATGTTGAACTTCTCCAACTTGAAGTGGGGAAGCTTGTTATTTCCCTTGCTTTTTCATCCTCACGCCAGGCGACCTATTTTGATCGCGCGGACGTCGACCTTCCTGGTTTCAGCCATTTCTTCAAGGCCAGCGAGCAGCGCATGAGGGAGCAAGCAGTCAATATGACCCTCTACGTCAATATGAGAGGGGGGCGCATTCGCTTCCCTTCCATTAAAGTAAGTTTGATTTTTTGGTTGTTTTTTTAATAAGTACACGCACAGGCGAATTTCTGGTAAAGATATTTTGATAACGACGCTGAATCTCTCTGAATAGTCTTACGATTTTGATAGTGCAGATAGAATATTTGGTTTCTGACCTCATGGTCTTAGTAATTCAAAACAGCCAAAACTAAGGTCGCGACCTGATGGGTTAGGCATTTTTCTAAAAGTAAGAGTTCTTGGTATATTGATGGACGCCAAGGGAGTTTAGGCCTTCACTAGGCAGCATTTCTAAGAAATGACTGGATGGTTTTTAATCAAAATTTTATATATGGCCTTAACAATCTACACAAACTCGGAAGTATCAAGCTTAAGTCAAGCTGGGTTATTTTTTAATGTTAAGTGATTATTTTTTAAATCGTTGTTGTTGTTGGGTTGTTTGTTTGTTGTTGCTGTTTCGTTTTTGCATTTTGCTCTTGTTTTGTTTTGTTTGCTTGTTCTGGGGTGGGTTTTTTTTTAATTTGATTTGGGGGATAGGGGTTGTATTCTTCTTTTTGTCTGAAAAGGGATGGAGGATTCATTTGTTTTCGAAACAACCTGGATGTGACTAGGGCCCTTTATTTTTCGGGCCTCTTAACTTGATCCACATTAGGAAATCTAGGTTGAAATTACAGGTAGTATTTATATATAAATAAACATACTTTCAGATTTCTTTATCAGTTTATATTACTCAATGTCAGGATACAAAAGCCACAGACACGCCGTTGATGATCGCCACTGTGCATTGCCCCCGCCTTTTTTTTTCAATTAAGCTGGGGATGACTGTGTCCTGCTCAAGAGCCATGTTCACTGACCCCAAAGTCACCGACATTTTTGATGCGGAAAATATGTGTATACTTTTAGGAAAGCACTATTCCCAGTGACACTGGAGATAGGCCCAGAAACTATTCCCAGTGACACTGGGGATAGGCCCAGAAACTATTCCCAGTGACACTGGAGATAGGCCCAGAAACTATTCCCAGTGACACTGGGGATAGGCCCAGAAACTATTCCCAGTGTCACTGGGGATAGGCCCAGAAACTATTCCCAGTGACGCTGAGAACAGACAGGCCCATTTGTTCTATTGTTCCCACACTGATCTACATGGGCATGATGGTACAGGACAGGTAGAAATCCTTCCCCATTCTTCTTTCTTCTAGATCTAGATCTAGTTCTAGATCTAGATCTAGATCTATCCTACGTCTACGGTCAAGTCTAAACCCCAAGTCAGAGAAGTGAACAAACGTAGGCTGAACTGAAGTGAGAAGATTTTTTTTTATGCAAAAGAGATCTGTTGTCACTGGGAATAGTTTCTGTACCTATTCCTAGTGTCACTGGGAATAGTCACTTCGATACTTTTATGAGAGAAGCAAAGTGAATTTCAAACTCACAAAGAATAGTGTGATCAGGGCGAAGCAAAGTGCACTAGCACTAGCAGATTTTTACTTTGAACCGTACTGAGAGACAGAGATAAAACGTCACAGCAAGCAGGGAGTGGGTGGTTCGAGGGCGTCATTGGTAGGTCTTACTTCTTTAATTTCACTTCTCTTGTTTCTGTTTGTCTATCTTACTAGTTCCCAGCACTAATTAATGATCATTATTGTGTCGATGTGCTTCTCTGTACTTAAACAAATAAGCACACAAAGCATACAGAAAGAAATACTAGATTTGAAAAAAAAAGAAGCTCATTCTCGCTCGGGAATCGATCTTATAATAATAAGTCTTCGTTTATTCAGTATGATAGGCTTCTGGGGTCATGGCCTGTAGTTCTCGAATGGCCGTCATTCTGGATAAAACCTCCTCAAGGCCTTTGTTTTACTGCGATCACGATCCAATACATGGCGACAAACAGGAAGTGTTGTAGACCTCTGTTGTTAAGGTCTGGAGAAAATAAATCTGTACGACCCCATAGCATCGATTTTTCTCATTGTCTTAGTTTTTCCCCGGATAATGTCAAAGTTCTGGGAAGGTCTCGAAAAAACTTTCATTATTTCCATTAAACATTTGCCGACGTTTTAGCACGATTTTCGGTGTGGCTGATACTGTCATCATCATCATCATCATCATCATCATCATCATCATCATCATCATCATCATCATCATCATCATCATCATCATCATCATCATCAAAATCATCATCTTCATCAAAATCATCATCATCGAAAGAGAAGAGTAGAGAGGGAGAGCCTTGAGTAGTTTATTGTCAAATAATATAAATTAAAAATGTGTTCAATCAAAAGGCTCAACGTTTCGCCTCGACGACTTGTTCAGGAATGATTCTTCATCATGATCATCATCATCATCATCATCATCATCATCATCATCATCATCATCATCATCAT